ACAGACCCATTAGGACAAACGGAGACTAAAGGGGCACAACAGCCCAGGGGCAAGGACTAGAAGGCAGGAGGAGACCAGAAAGCTGGTAATAGGAAACCCAAGGTCGAGAAGGGAGAGTACTGACATTTATAACCAATGTCATAAAACAATATATGTACTAACTGTTTAATGAAAAGCTATTTTGTTCCATAAACCTTCATCTAAAGTACAATAATAAAAAAAAATACATGAGGGCAAATGGTCTTCAAAGGCAGGATAAAAAGGCAGGAAGGACAGGAACTAGATGAATGGACACAGGGAACCCAGGGTGGAAAGCGGGAGTGTGCTGTCACATTGTGGGTTGCAACCAATGTCACAAAACAATATGTGTATAAACTTTTGAATGAGAAATTAACTTGAGCTGTAAACTTTGACCTAAAGCACAATAAAAAAAAATGAAGGGATTAGGTTTAGAAAAAATATATACATATGTGTAGAGGGAATTATGCTGAGTGAAATAAGTCAATCACAAAAGGACAAATATTATATGAGACTACTACTATAAAAACTCATGAAAAAGTTTATACACAGAAAGAAACAATCTTTGATGGTTACGAAGGAGGGGAGGGGAAAGGAGGGAAAAACACTAAAGAGACGAAAGATAAGTGGTAACATTGGTGAAGGGTAAGACAGTACACAATACTGGGGGACCGAATTGCTGGGCTGAGGGCTGGGGACCATGGTGTCAGGAGACATCTCCTCAATTGGCGTAACATAGTTTATACAGAAAAGGTTCTACATCCTACTTTGGTGAGTTGCATCTGGGGTCTTAAAAGCTTGTGAGCGACCAGTATCTACTCCACTGGTCCCACCCTGTCTGGCGCAAGGGAGAAGGAAGAAAACCAAAGACAAAAGGGAAAGACCACAACTACCACAGCCTCCACCAGACTGAGCCCAGCACAACTAGACGGTGCCTGGCTACCACCACCAACTACTCTGATAGGGATCACAACAGAGGGTCCTGGACAGAGCTGGAGAAAAACATAGAACAAAATTCTAACTCACAAAAAAAGACCAGACTTACTGGTCTGACAGAGACTGGAGAAACCCTGAGAATATGGCCCCCCAGACAACCTTTTAACTCCGTACTGAATTCACTCCTGAGGTTCACCCTTCAGCCAAAGATTAAAGAAAAAAACAAAAAAAACCTGTTGACATTGAGTTGATTCCAACTTGTAGCGACCCTGTAGGACAGAGTAGAACGACCCCATAGAGTTTCCAAGAAGTGGCTGGTGGATTCGAACTGCTGACCTTTTGGTTAGCAGCTATAGCTCTTAACCACGGCACCACAAGAGCTCCAGCCAAAGATTAGACAGGCCCGTAAAACAAAATGAGACTAAGTGGGCACACCAGCCCAGGGGCAAGGATGAGAAAGTAGGAGGGGACAGGAAAGCTGGTAATGGGGAACCCAAGGTTGAGAAGCGGAGAGAGTTGACATGTTGTGGGGCTGGCAACCAATGTCACAAAACATTATGTATATTAATTCTTTAATGAGAAACTAATTTGCTCTGTAAACTTTCATCTAAAGCACAATGAAAAAAAAAGAAAAATTCATATAAACGTAAATAATTTTCTTTGTCCTTTACAAATAAAACAACACATGGGAAATAATTTTTTTTATTACCTTTAATGCACATTATCTTAATAAAGACCATGATTTAAAAAATAATAATAATAATCCACATTTGGTCCCTGTCCCTGGGGCCCTATATAGGGAAGAGAGACAAAAATTCAAAATCCATCAAAATATATCATTACAAACAGTTGATGTACTATGCCAGAGTCCTTTACGGAACCATAACAGAAAATACAAGGGCATGGAGTGGACCTGTTTAGAGGGGTTGGAAAGATCTCTGCAAAGGGGTGCTTATTTGAGCAGAGACCTGAACAATGAGAAGCAGCCAGGAGGTCCTGAGGCCTTCTTTCTAGTTTACCCTTCAAGCTTGCCCTGACCGGGGCAGGTGAGGAGGGACACATCAACCAATGGGATTTTTGGTGAAGGACAGTTTCACTAGATTTTTTAAAGTGGACTTCTACAGACAATCCCTTTTGCTCCCTTCTCTCTTCACAAAGCCCAGTGAGGCAGGTGCTTTTGCAGATGAAGGAACTAAGGTTTAGAGGACAAGGAATTTGATAAAGCCTGGATGTGGTAGAGAAGGGACTGAATCCAGGTCTTCCAGGAACAGAGCCTGAGTGACCTGCAAACATCTGAAAACTGCCTCATCTGTCTTCTTGGTCACTTCAGGAGACAGGTATTAACCACATTGCCAGAGGGTACAAAGAGCTAAGATCAGATAACGACAGGGCGGGCTCTCGAGTATCTCCTGACACATTCCCTCCACCCTGCCTCCTGGGCCGGCCCAGGCTGGGAGCCATCTTGGGGGTGGACCTGTCTGTGCCTGCAGCCCCTTCTTCCTATGTTCCGGAGGTTTGGTTTGGTTTTGTGATCTGCAGAGGTTTTTTCCCCATTGCCATCAAGTCAGTTCTGACTCATGGAGACCTCCTGTGTTACAGGGTAGAACTGCTCCACAGGATTTTTTTTGGCTGTAATCTTTATGGAAGCAGATCACCAAGCCCTTCTTCACTGGAACTGCTGGGTGGGTTTGAACTACCAGACCCAGCCTGGTCTCTCAGTAGCTTCCTGCGGGACCCACTCACCATGTCCTGCACTAACATCACCCACATTTGGTCTGACACGTGTTCTCCCTGCCTGGAATTCCTTCCTGCACTCCAGGGGCTTCTAGGTGGACATGGGCATGCCTGCCTGGCCCAGCAATTTGGTCCTAGGGCAGGGAGTATGAGGAGTGTCTGAAGAGAATGGGAAAGGCTTGGAGCCCAACTAGAGAAACAATTTACTCCGCTCCTTTCTGAGTGTGTGACCTTGAGTAAGTCACAACTTCCCTGGGCCTCAGTCCTCTCGTCTGCAAAATTGGGGTGAAAAAACAGTCCCCATCTCACAGGGCTGTTCTGAGAATTAACATCCGGAAGATGCTTAGCAAAGAGCCCAACACACATTAGGCGCTCAATAAGAAATGCAGGCTTCCCTCCTGACTACTGTTACTGTTACTATTGTTGTTGGTAGGCTTGAGGTAGCCGCTGTCTCCACCACTGCCCACCTACCAGACACCCATCACAGAAGGAGGGGTCTCTCTGGCTGCCAGAGGTAGTCTGGTGGTTGCTGGCTCTGAATTTGGCTATTCCAGTTCCACCTTCAGAAGATGAATGTTAATTTGCATTCCTTAACTTAAAAATCACCTCCTAATAGGCAACACGGCACCCCTGAGTGGTACACAAAAGGAGCCCTGGTGGCGCAGCGGTTAAAGCAGCTTTGCTGCTAACTGAAAGGTTGGTAGTTTGAATCCACCAGCCACTCCATGTAAGAAAGATGTGGCAGTCCACTTCTATAAAGATTACACCCTTGGAAACTCTGTGGTGCCCCATAGTTCTGCTCTATCCCAAGGGGTTGCTATGAATCGGAATCCATTCAACAGGCAACAGGTTTTTTTGGGGTGATGCAAACAGTTCAGCACTTGGCTACTAACCACAAAGTTGGCAGTTAGAATATAACCAGAGGGCCCTCACCAGGAGATCTACTTCCGAAAGGTCATAGCCATTGAAAATCCTATGGGGCACAATTATACTCTGAAACACATGGGGTTGCCATGAGTCTCATTCAACTAGATGACAACTGGTCTGTTTTCTTGGTTAATAGGTAATATAAATGTGAACCTGGCCAAGTAAATTAATCCAGTAGGCACAAGGAAAATATTAGTCCAAAGGACTAAAGGACCACATGAACCACAGCTTCCAGCAGCCTGAGCCCAGAAGAACTAGATGTTGTCCAGCTACCACCACCAAACACTTTGACAGGGATCACAATAGAGGGTTCCAGACAGAGCAAGAGAAAAATGCAGAACAAAATTCAAATTTACAAAAAAAGACCAGACTTACTGGTCTGACAGAGACTGGAGGAACCCCTGAGACCATGGCCTCCGGCCACCCTGCTAACTCAGAACTGAAGCCACTGTCGAAGTCCATCTTTCAGCCAAAAATTAGATAGGCCTATAAAACAAAAAATAACACACGTGAGGAACGTGCTTCTTAGTTCAATCGAGTATACAGACCAAATGGGTAACACCTGCCCAAAAGCAAAGACAAGACAGAAAGGGTCAGGAAAACTGGGTGAATGGACAGGTGAACCTGGGTGGAGAGAGGGACAGTGCTGACACACTGCAGAAATGTCAACCAATGTCACAGAACAATTTATGCATAGATTTTGAATGAGAAACTAATTTGCGCTGTAAACTTTCACCTAAAGCACAATAAAAAATTTTTTAAAAATTAATCCAGTCGGACTTGCGGAACAAATAAAAATACAAAAAGATAAACCAGCAAGCTGCCTCTGTGTGTGAGAGAAAATGTAGTCCCATATCCAAAGCTTCGCAGGCTCAGGATGAGACTGCTTCAGGAACCTCCATGCCAGCCCTGCCTCGGAAACGCTGCAAACTGCTAAGACAGTCGTGTACGTGTTTAAAGGGTTGATGGTGGTAAGAATGATCTTTCAGTTATAAATTTAAAGGTTGGAAGTTGGAGGGCAGAGACATCTGATTTAGTTGGGTGACAGCTCTCATGGAGTCCCAGGTAAGACCCACATCTCATAAATCCGGAAGCAATCTTCCTCCAACCCGCGATTCTAACGCGGAGCCCTCTCCGCCAGCGAACTAATGCTTTGGCACAATTTGCTGCTCGGCTGGTCTGGGCGCCCAGTGGGATACAAGCTCCGGTCCTCCCAGACGCCTGGCCCGCGATGCATCTGAGGTGATAGATGGGGGAGATTGCGCCTCCCTTCCAAAATCTAAACCCCAGCCCATGAATGCTCCAAGCCCTCCACCTAAGCATCCAAGTGGAATGTGGCCAGTCCCGGTCCTGCGAGCGGGAGAGGAGAAAGGCGGGACACTGACCTGGGAAGCCCGCGACTCCGGGCAGGCGAGGAGCAGCAGAAGAAGGAAGAGCGCGTAGGCAGAGTTGGGCACCATCTTGTCAATTGGAACCTTTCTGCGTGTGAAGGGGAAATATTTGTCTGCTTTCCCTGCGGAGTTTGTCCCCGCCGATGCGGCAGCCGTCCCTCGCAGGGTGCCGGGCGCCGCGCGGCTCTGTCCGGGAGGGAGGCGAGAGGCCGGAGCGCACTGGATCTGCGGGAATCGGCGCTGCCCGGCCCGCCGAGCTCGCTAGCAGAGGGCGCAGTCTCGGGTCAAGGTGCGCGGCGCACCCGTCACCGGAGCACCCGCGACCACCAGCCTCCGCAGCCGCCCGCACGAGGCAGTCCGGGAGAGGAGGGGAGGCGCCAGCCCCTTGGCCGAGGCCGAGGGAGGAGGGGCTGCCCGGGCAGGAATGCGCCTGGGAGCTCGCCTTACCCGCCCGGCGCCCTGAGGAGGCTGGGCCGGCGCCCGAGCTGAGAGCCAGCATCCTTCGGTCCCAGCGTCGGTGCCTGCACACATGCTGGAGGCTGAAAGTCCATCCTGGGCCGGGCCGGTGCCGACCCCCCATTTCCCAGCCAGGGAGACTGCGGCTCACGTCACCCAGTGGCAAGTGACAGAGCTGCGATTCAAGCCCAGGTGTGTGGCCCTTCAAAGCCTACGGACAGCTTTCTCCACAAAATTCATAGAACAGGATCAGTACGCCCAGGAGATAGGCTTCATAAGCATGGCGATGACTTAGACTAAGGTCTCCATCCCAGTAGACTAGTGTCCTTTGAATGGTGCTATTCTCGGTAGGATTCCCTGGGTGGTGCAAACCGTTACTGCACTAAGCTGCAAACTGAAGCGTTGGGGGTTGGAGTCTACCCAGAGGTGCCTCGGAAGAAAGGTCATTGAAAACCCTGTAGAGCACAGCTCTATTCTGTACACACGGGATTGCTGTGAGTTGGAGTCACTCAATAGCAACTGGTTTCTGTTTTTGTTTTTAATTCAGGGTACAAGAATAAAACATGCAAGGTGATTACATTGATAATCTGATCATCTACAGTCCTTCACTCCTCAGGAACAAGAAACTCAGTTTAAAATAGAGAACAAGTTATTGGAACATCCAAAACATTGGATTCTTTGCTGAAGATAGTCTAGGAAATAGGCTGGGAAGGGGAGACATTAGCAGTTTGAAGTCCCCTGTGTCCAGGGACTGTGGAAGGAACCAGATGGCCTCAGATCCAAGCTCCTGGAAAGCGTTATTTATGTTCTTATGCGAAGAATGTTTTCAGAAAGCAATATTGCAGATGTCGTGGTACACACCAAGTCTGGCCAGGCCCCAAATCTATTTTTCTTCACTTAGCAGAACCCAGTCAGGGATCAAGAAATGGATCTCAGAAGGCTGAGGTCTCAGAGCAGGTGCTGTTTTCCACTGGAAGCATGAGAGGAAAGTAGGATTCCCCTGAAAAACTAGGGGCATGGTGCAGGCTGGCCACCAGGGCTTTCATTATCCAGGAGATTTTGCTGTGCCTCTTGTTCCACCTTCCTGCCTGAGGAAGTAGAGCCGGGCCAACCTAATCTTATTTAGCATTCTTAGCTGAACATCTTGAAGACACCTGATCAGGACAAGGTTTCCCCCTGTCCAGGTGGAGGGGACAGGACAGAAATGGTCAATCTAGAGAAGCCTGTGGAAATCATGATTTTCTGCTTCAATCTCTCATGTATTTGCTGTCTATGCCTAAAGCTCAGAGTCCTCTTCCCACCCAGCTCCCTGTTCTTCCTCATTAATAGAAGGTTTCAGTCTAGTCAGTGTGACTATATTTGTTTTATCCCATCTGTGTTTACATCAGAGTCCCTGGGTGGGTGTAAACGTTTAACATGCTTGGCTGCTAACTGAAAGGTTGGAAATTCAAGTCCCAGAGGTGCCTTGGAAGAAAGGCCTGGAGATCCACTTCTGAAAAATCAGCCATTGAATATCCTATAGAGCATAGTTCTACTCTGACACACATGAGCTCTCCATGAGTCGGGGTTGCCATTACAGCAAGTAGTTTTGTTTTTAGATGGCCATCTCTCCTAGAAAGCCAAGCACTCTCAGCCCCACTCTGGCCGTGTTCTGGGAAACAGACATTCAGCATATGTAGCAAGTATTCTTTTCTCTTCAGCCTGCTCTATAGAATCATACACCTGGAAGAGACATTTGATTTCGCTGATAAAGAAACTGAAGCAAAGTATGGTTGAGTAACTTGCCCAAAGTATGCGAACTCAGGTCTTTGTTCCTCCTTCTCAGGGCAGTGCTGTTTCCGCACAGACTACCTTTAACCAGGGCCAGATTAAGGCATATGAGGGCCCTAAACACTGATAATCTGTGGTGCCCCTCCTCTGCTTATGCATCTGAATGGGATATGTGAATTAGATACATACATGTGTACATATATTTACATGTGTGTCTTAGCTATGCATGATGTAACTTTTTTTCTTTTTGAAATTCTTTTTTTCAATTGTGCTTTAGACAAAGGTTTACAGAGCAAATTAGTTTCTCATTAAACAATTGTACAAATATTGTTTTGTGACATTGGTTGCCACCCTCTCCCCTTCTTGTCCTTGGGTTCCCCATTACCAGCTTTCCTGTCTCCTACTGCATTCTCATCCTTGCCTCTAGGCTAGTGTGCCCATTTTGTCTCATTTTGTTTTATGGGCCTGTCTAATATTTAGCTGGAGCTCTGGTGGCGCAGTGGTTAAGAGCTATAGCTGCTAACCAAAAGCTCAGCTGTTCAAATCCACCAGCCGCATCTTGGAAACTCTATGGGGCACTTCTACTCTGTCCTATAGGGTCACTACAAGTTGGAATCGACTTGACTGCAATGGTTTTTTTTTTTTTTTGTCTTTAATCTTTGGCTGAAGGGTGAACCTCAGGAGTAACTTCAGTACTGAGTTGAAAGAGTGTCAGGGGGCCATATTCTCAGGGTTTCTCCAGTCTCTGTCAGACCAGTAAGTCTGGTCTTTTTTTGTGAGTTAGAATGTTCTATATTTTTCTCCAGCTCTGTCTGGAGCCTTCTATTGTGATCCCTATCAGAGCAGTCGGTGGCGGTAGCCGGGCACTGTCTAGTTGTGCTGGGCTCAGTCTGGTGGAGGCTGTGGTAGTTGTGGTCCATTAGTCCTTTGGACTAATCTTTTCCTTGTGTCTTTGGATTTCTTCATTCTCCCTTGCTCCAGACAGGGTGGGACCAGTGAAATATCTTAGATGGCTGCTCACAAGCTTTTAACATCCCAGATGCTACTTACCAAAGTAGGATGTAGAACATTTTCTTTATAAACTATGTTATGCCAGTTGAGCTAGATGTCCCCTGAGACCATGGAGACGTAACTTCTTTTTAAATTCGACTACAATATTAGTGATTGAATGCAAAAGAGGCCTATACCATTTTGGCAGAATAAGATGAACTGGATTATAAAATTTTTAGTGGATGCAGGGTACTAAGATTTTTACCGTAGACCATGTTTTCTACAAAATGAATATTCCACATAGTCTACAACAAACAAAATGAGTCAATGAACTTGGCTGTTTCAATAATCAGTGTAAAATTCTGTTGATCTTCCACAACAAAAAATTGACTTTCAACAATTTTGCTTTAAATGGCTCATACTTCAGTTTTGATGCTTTTTTCTTAATAAATGTTATGTCATAAAAGAAAATTTAATGATCAGAAAATAAATATTACAACAAATTACTATATTTTATTTTTAGATAAATCTTTCATCTCTAACATGTTATAATTAAAAACATTTCTTAGGAGGCAGGTCCAAGATGGCAAAGTAGTCAGAAGCTTCCTATGGTCCCTTTTACAACAAAGACCCAAAGAAACAAGTGAATCAATTATATTTGACAATCTAGGAGCCCTGAACATCAAAGGCAAAGTTGAGGAATCACACAGAGTGGTAGGGGGAGGCAGAGATGGTTCGGAAGCAGCGAGGAGTTGCCAGACCTGACCTGGCAGCAACTGGCACCCTGCAGGCTGGATCAGCTGGAGTGCTTGGTGAGGCAAGCAGTGGTGCTTGGGAGGCATTTTCCACATCGGCAGAGACCAAGCAGTGGAGAATCTACTCAAGCCTCCAGAACAAGTGAGAAGTGGCACTAACCCACCGTGCGGACCAAAAAACACCTCGTTTGGAAAGAGACTCCCTCCCATTTACCTGCCTCCTCCCTGCTCTGCACCGGTCTGGACCAGCTTCAGTGATTGCCACGTTCTCTGGCCCGGAAGCAGGACACATGATGTGCCCTGAGCCATTCTCCTGGCCGTGGAGAGGGAACAAATAAACAAGCATGATCTGCAAGCTCCCCTAAGCCAGGAACTCAGGGTAGGCACAGTTCCTTTGCCTAGGGACAGGCATAAGGGGTCCATGGACTTTGAATGCCTTTCACCCCTGCAAAGACCTGTGTGGGCCCATTTCAGCAGCATAGGCTCTCATTACCACAGTATAACAGGGTATATACCTGAAGCCTAACTTCAACTGTATCAGCTATATGGTGAAGTGGCAGGTTCATGACATTTGACACTGCTCGGCCTATTAAACAGTGTCCTCACCTACCCACATTAGGGACCCGAGGACTGGTTGCTCTACCCACACCACCTACCCACCAGCAACAGTGGTCCAAGAATAAGTGGTGCCTCCTAGTCCTTATAGCCAACAGCACTGGGTGCCCATAGTCCAGCTGCAAAACCAAACCCCCTACATGCTCTAGGGAACAGGGACATATTTTCCTCCCAGACACTCAGGGGCAGCTTGATCAGCACATGACCCCCTACTGCAGCCAGATACTTGTGCCTACACCAATCACCCCTGCTTGTCTACTGCAGGTGAGAGCTTGCATCACACACTTGGTGACTGACTACCTGGATACCTGAGCTGAATCCATACAAGAAGAGTAAACAGAGTCCTAGGCTCACATACGTAGTAACAGATCTAACCACCTGGTGACAGGACATTAGAGCTTCAAAGGTGCCAATAATCAAACTAGTGCACACAAGCAGCCTATTTGGGCATAGAAAAAAAAACAAAACAAGAAGATAGGATAC